GCTATTAATGAACAGCAAAAAGTTAATATGGACACTTAATAAAACACAATAGAACATTATTTAAAACAAAACAAATTAAAACACTGAGAGCCCAATAAACCATGATCATGGCGATCCTTATTGACTGGTTTACCATGCCAACAATATACTACTGCCTACATCTTGAGATCAGAAAAAAAAAATAAATTGCGGCGCAATTCCAGGGGTGTTTCTAAGGATCCCAGAAATCCCTTTCCTTGGCAGACAAAACTCTGGGATTTTACAAATCAAACAAGGAATACAACTCTTCATCTTTTTAATTTTGCTATTGTATCTTTCTAGGTACTGTGTTATATAAGTTTGACTGATGGAGGCTCAGCAGAATTCCTCTTTGTGGATTTACTTATTCTTTCATCGCTTAGCGGAGTCTCGATTTTCATTCAGTCAGAGTTCCTCTTTGTCTGGTTGTTGTTGCTTTCCTTCATTTAGAGGAGTCTCGTTTTTCTTTCTAGTAAGCTTGGGGATAAACTCGTTCCAAAATGCAACCTTCCTTTCTCGTAAACTGTGTTTCACTTTAGGGTCTGTTGAGATGCTTAAGTGCGCACGGCCAGTGTTATTGTACGCTGGCCACTTAACTGGCATAGCACCAACACCGTTCGGATCTCTGAAAAATATTGATAACAGACAAATATTAAAGAAAATGCAATGCCTGTCGATATCAGTGGGTGGGGATGATAGAGTGAGACAGTTATCCGTTTGAACAGGAAAAATTTACGCAGTATATATTTCCCTAAAAAATTGTAAAAAAAAAACCAATAAACAATTTGAAATCTTTGATATAGGTTTCTTCAAAAATGTAGAACTCTTCAACTTACCCATATTTAGCAAAATTTGCCCACATCTCCATGATATATTTCGAAAGTCCTTGCTCTAGAGCTGAGTAATTGCCAGGAAAATAAACATCCATACCAGGTTCTAGGGAATCTCCATATAATGGTCTACCAAAGACAAAAGGTAGGTCAATACCATGATGGGCGCCAAACCATTTCGGATATCTTGGTTGATGTGGACAGTGATCGAAGACATACATGTAAACACGGTTACCAGCTTTGGACAATAATCTCGCTTCTACGACCGCAGGTACAAGGAACACGTGGTCTGTGCCTTCATCTATCGCTGCCTGTCGAATCTTATCTGTATTGTTTAAGTCATCGTGGGGAAGGTACTCAAAAACAACTGCGTCTTCAACGAGTTGTGTGTACTCTCCATTCACCGAAAGGTCAGTCTTGACAGCAGTTTTGAAAACCTCGGCAGTGAACTCTTTATTCGCCATTGCAAATACCCCGTATCCACCTTCATCGGCAGTCACGCCATTGATAATATCAGCTTTGTTTATTTTGCCTTCCTTCAAGAGGGATTTTGGGTCATCGGGGAGAAACTCACCATCAATAGTGACAATTGACAGAAACGGGTCTTTAGTTAACATTGGAAACGTGACATTGAATTGAGCAGCCAGAATATCTTCCACGCTGATCAAAATATAAAAAAAGATCATGAGTAGGATGCAAAAGGTTATTGGGCACTGAATTAAAAATCAAATTCCAAACTTTCATCGACTCCAATACCTTTTTTCTCTAAAGCACTCCATTTGGTTTTCATGGTCTTTGCCATCACACTTTAGTGCCTTGCTAAAAACCTCCAGTGCATCGGTATTAGTCACCTTTACACATGAAAATGGACCTACAGCAGATCCACTCTGTGCTATTGCACGGTGAAACAATCCTTTACTAAGGGGGGAGATGAGGTGACTAGAAACACTCATCCCACCAGCACTTTCTCCAAATATGGTCACTTGATCAGGATTGCCACCAAATGATGCAATGTTCTTCTGAACCCACTTAAGGGCCTCGACCTGAATATATCCAAAGAAGATTTATAAATGATCTATAGATTTTCAAGACGATAATACATTTAACACCTTGCTTGCTCTACGTTTTTTTTTTCTGCATACAAACGGTGATAAGTGTCACGGAATTAATTACATTTCCTCTGAAGAAGTCGTGCAAATGATAAATAATAGTAACAGTAGAACTCTGAAGCTTTAAATCAATGCATTGTGGGATATGCTTGTTTTCTGCAGAAACTATAACCACAATGCATTGCAAATCGCGTAGGTGACGTAAAAGCTTCAGAAGTCTGCTTGCAAAATACCTGGTCGTGCATTCCAAAATTCCCCTTGATATCTGTACCGGGAATGTTAAAGAACCCCAGCACACCCAGCCTATAGTTGATCGTTACTAATACAATRTTATGTAAAGCAACAAGTAAAGATGGATTGTAGGTTCGCCCGGCGCCAAAAGCGAATCCGCCGCCATGAATCCACACCATGACAGATAGCTYGTCATTATCAGTAGCACTTGATGGAGTGTAGACATTGACGCTCAAACAGTCTTCACCCTGAGGAACTAAGCAGAGTCATAAAAATCATACCAGGTTTGTAAAACTACTGACTGACAGAGATCTAGAGCAGACAGGAGACTGAGAACGAAAAAAGGTTCCCTATTATTTACAAGAAACCCAATAATAACGAATACATTCAATTGACTTTGTCAATGTACTTGAGAATGAAACACTTCATAWTCAAATCTCTCATCGATTAATATCAATTGCAGCTGAATTTGCACGATCAACTATAATCAACTTTATTTTAAAAAATGTCAAAATATTTTTGATACATAGAAAACACAAGATTTGGTTAATTAAGAAAAATTAGTTTCGTCTTTACTAAAACCTTCTCAATTCCTTTACAGATGTTGAGAAAATATCAAAAATATTTTGACATTTTTTTAAAATGAAGTTTAGGAACAGGAACTATTTTTTTGTTTTGATTGACAAGGTCAATTAAGGTCATGTCATCACCGACTAATTTATGCTTGGTAATCTTACGAAATTGGAAGCAACTTCGAATACAATTCTGGAAATACTTGACGGTCACGGTCTTTTGCTTCACACTGTACACGGTTTAAGACTGTAATTTGCAAGAATATGCAGCCCCGAAATTTAAACTGGGTTTATTGAATAAATTAGACGACTGAGCAAACTTTCAACAGTGTTAGTTTCAGTTGTTGTGGCGAATTTTCTAAAACCGTTGTCTAATGTATCTATGCATGCTGTCAAACATCGATGGGCCTTTCTGTATGTATCGGAATCTATTGTAKTCTGGTTASGTTTCATTGTATTTCGGGGTATTATTTAGAATCTGCTGCTTTGTTTCTATTTCTATTGAATTACGTCATCTGTTCATGTTCTCCGGCCGGTACCTACAGAAGGAACCCATTCGGTAATACTCAGTCTAAATACAATACATAACAGCTAATACCTTCGTCTACACCTCCCGTATCATTTCTCGAGTCCCCCTTCTCTTCTTTAAAAACGTCCTTCAAATTTGTTTGAGGGCAAATAGGACCAAACTTCACTGCATCTCTTACTCCATTCCATGGCTGAGCTGGCTTTGGTCTAGCAAACCGCAAGGCACCAACTGGAGGCTGAGCATAAGGAATGCCAAGGAATTGTCGAACTGAATAACCACCGGTAACTGCTTGTAGTTGACCTCGAACAGATCCAAGAGGAGTCTTGACAACTAAAGAATCATCTTCACCGAAACAGCTCGAATGTAGAAAAAGTTGAACSCAAAAGCACAAGTACAATTKTATGATACAAGGCYTCATGTTTACAATTAYTAMCAAATGTCGCTAAAAGCTCAACAAGGCTATATTGCTCTAAGAGCAATGATGTTTCGGCCCTCTACAGTTCAGTGCAGTGCAGTAATTGCAGCGCTTGTCCTTTTTTGTCTATAAATAGTGCCTTACAAATAGGCTGCCTTACAAATTTACAAATAGGGGGTTGGGATGGGGGTGTTGGTTTTTCATAATACGGACTTACATTAAATGTTTGATAAATTAGTTTAATTCACAGTATAGTGAACTGGCTGCTAGTATGAGCAGTTCAAAGAAATTACTATCTAAAACCAGTTCATTTCAGTTCAAAAGTATTTTAAAATAGAACAATAAAAAAAGAACACCAGACCTTTTAGGCCTGTGGGGGGAAGGCTCGTTGAAATCAGAAAGTTTACAATGCCTCGTGATTGTTATTTTGAAAAAAAACAGGATATTTCAATTGTTTCTAATTTGCTCCAGGAACAAACCTTTTCTATAATTCAGTCATAGTTCACGTTGTAAACTCCTAAAGAAACTGTCATCTGCTGTCACGCAACGCTATCCGTGTGGAGTGCGTAATTAACTTATAAATTTTATCAGATGTAAACATACAGCGAACTCGATCAGTTAAATTTACCGATTAAATAGTGGCACGGTGAAAGTAATATGAAGTTAGTGCAAGTCTATGGACGTTATGAACTGAAGCTATTTTGATACTTTGAATGAATAGCAAGATCACATTCTATCGTGATGCTGATTACGATCAATCTGATTCGCTGAACTGTGAGCCGTGTTTCGTCACGCAACTCTTCCAATGCGTGAAATATTCTGAATTTAATATTCAGAGTCGTCGTAATTAATCACAATGAAAGATAAAGGTCAGTCCTATACAGTCGACTACCTTAAGTTGCAACGTTTAAATGCTGGTTTAAATGTGGCTTGCTCATAAAAATGCTCTAAATCAAAGTAGTGTGTTTCGTTTATTAATCGTGCCCAGACCATAGGCCAGGGGCACGAGGTATTAAATTCAACGCGTAGAATTTATATTTTTCTTCCAAGAGTTTTTTCCGATTGATCTCAAAGTCGAATATACAGTGAAGTCATCATTACTATTACAAWTTAGTACTAACTACCGTATATAGAACATTATTTAAAACAAAACAAATTTAAATTTTAAAAAAACACTGAGAGCCCAATAAACCATGATCATGGCGATCCTTATTGACTGGTTTACCCTACCGACAATGTACTACTGACTATATAACTATATCTTGAAGTCATAAAAAAATAAATTGCGAAAAAAGACGAATAACTGATTGCATGAACAGAAGAAAAGACCAGTTTGAATCTCTGACTCACAATCACTCATGCATTTGAAGGACGCTAGGTGTCCCAGAACCCCTTTCCTTGGTAGAGAAAAGACTGAGACTTTATTTGTAAAATCAAATAAGAAACTCGACAATGCATGCTTCTTTTATGTTCTCTTTATTGCAAATTTCTAGTTTCTGGTTTATATATAAGGYTCGAATAATGAAGGCATCAGTCAAAGTTCCTCTTTGTGCATTTGCTTATTCTTTCCTTGGGTTATTGGAGTTTCGTTTTTAATTTTAGCAAGCTCAGGGATAAACTCGTTCCAAAATGTAACCTTCCTTTCTCGTAAACTGCATTTCACTTTAGGGTCTGTTGAGATGCTTAAGTGCGCA